AAACTTCAACTCCTTTAATATAAAAAGTTGTGACAGGCTGCTTAATAGTTTCTTAATTCTCTTTTATTCTGTTTAGGAGAATGGAGGTGGACTACATTTCCCACCCTCTTTTTAGACAGGTGTGGTCACGTGACTGATTATTAGCGAATGGGCTATAGGTAGAAGTTTCGCAAATTTACTTGGAAGGTTAGGTCATAAAAATCTCGCATATCATCATGCATTTTCTCTTTTTCCCTATACAAACATCTGAAAGTTAAACATCACAGGCACCTAAGTTGACAGAGTGAAAAGAAGGAAGATATTGAAAGTTTTCATTACCAATCATATTACACTAACACTTAAGCAATAAGTAAAGTTTTATCCTGTTAAGAAATTGAAATTTACAACTTAATTGTTAGCATTCTACATTATCCTAATTGCTACAGAATTTAAGGAAAAGTGATAAATTCTTTATATACAAAAGTCACCCTTCAAGGTAGTGATAGTACACTACCTGGAAAAAATAATATACAAAAGGTAAATGAGAATACAGGTTGTATACAAGGAATCATCTCTGTGTTACATTTTAAAAGCACAGTGATCAAGGACACTAATAAATATACAGCTTTGAATGACTTCTATGGGTCATTTGATTCCATAACCGATTTACAGGTAGCTAAACATCCATCAACTATTGAAACTGAGGGATCTTTTTCATATATTTAGTGAACACTGACAGCTAATATTACCTCCCATACAATCCAGAATTGTCCATTGGCTCAAGATATTTTTCTTTATATATAAATATCATTTTTGCTGCACTTGAAAAATAATTAAATATTTAGAAAAGAAGTCCACAAAGAATTCTCTAAACAGCTGGTATGGAAATCTGCTAGTTTCACCCTAGATTGACTCTTCCCTCTTTCAAACTATCATAGTTTTTTCAGGACACCTCCTCAACCTATTCAAACTATGTGTCAGTCTCTCTTGCAGTAGGAATCCCTAGGTTATAAGTTCTCTCTCACAGACCCTGAATGGATGTGTTGAAAGTAGCCAACCCCAGCCAGATATATTTGTTAGTGTAACTGACAGGGGAATGCTTTTCAGACTTGCTGGAAGGCAGGTGCACTCAGTAAATGTTAAATTTCTTTCTACCCCTTTTAATCTCAGTTGCAATTTCAAAACAATATATTTATTATGACACTATTTTCTGAGTGTAAGAAAATGGAATTTAAGGGTAAGGAACTGAATTTTCTGCTTATTGTTCCATAGTTCAATGTTTCCATTTGGTGCTTACACTCCAGGCCCACAAAATCTCTTGAAAGAAGAGAGAAACTGTTTAACATATGTTTCAAGCTACCATCATTTACCCTTCTTTGTGTTAAATTTAAAAATGATATTCATCTACTAAGTTTTATGCAATAAATCAGCATAATTTTTCTAATTGCAAAAATACAAATGAGTACAGATAAAAGGACAAAAATTCCATCCACAGTAACTGTGTCATTCTAGTCTTTCCCAATATGTATCTACTAACCTGGGATTTTTTTTTAACAAAATAAAGCCATGATTAATACATGGAGTAAGGTAAACTTCTTTTTTTCTTAGTTCACTTATATAAAGAGATTAAATACATTAATCATTTATACATAAATACATATATACAGCGGTAACCCAGTTCACGAACTTAACTGTTTCCATGATTCTGGTCTAAAACCGAGTTGGACAAGAACCAAATCAAATTCAGTGGTTAGGTTCAATGCTAACCTCACGAATGCCTGCTTGTAAGGCAGGCGTAATACAGAGAACTTTATTAAGAAATAATTCCCACAACATAAAACTTACATTTTTAAAGTGCACAGTATGGTGCCTTTAGTATATTTGCAGTCTGCATTCATCTGCCTCAGAATTGTCTTCATCTCCAAAGACACTCAATACCCGTTAGTAGTTCCTAGCAGCTACTAGTATATTTTCTGTGTTTCTGTAGTTGAAGATTTCATATGGTTCTTAGGAACTGAATATTATAATAGGTGGTGTTTTGCATCTGTCTTCCTTTTGTTAATGATTTTAAACATCAATTCTAGTTGTAACATTTATCAGTACTTAGGGTATATAATAGTTCACTGCATCAATTCATTAGTTAGGTTAGTAGCATTTTTACTCATCAAATTTTCATTTACATGGCAATAATGTAACTTAAAATCATGTTAATGCTTGCAGAATATTTCACTGAATAAGAAGAATCATTCCATTGGGTGAGATACACCACAGTATTAATTCAACCTGCTAACTGCAAACTATTTTGCATAAATGCCCCTATAGATAAAGCTTAGAAATTCTGTCTCACTTTAAGATAGAATTGGCCATGCAGAATGGGAACCACTCTTTCCTAAATTATATTCTGGGGATGAAAAGAAATCAAGTACAAATATAAAGTAAGATAGGATAATAAAATGAGAGGGAGAGGCCAATTTCTTAAACTACCAACAAGGAAAGCACATTTGGGAATATGCCACTGAAAATTTCTGTTATCATTCAAATTCAATGATTTGTCTGACCAAGGGCAGATGTAGGTCATAGGCTGCCAAGACATAGTTTTCATCTCTTTTAGACCTGAAGTGGCCTGAGGCAGTACTCTCCTAGCCCTAAAAGACTGAATATAAATCATGCTTGTTGGCAATTTTTGCTGACGTGCTGCCTGACACATGGCTAAAAGCTTTCTCAGAGCTGAGAATAAATTCCAAGACAGCAATGACAGCTATAACAATAATGCCACATGTTAAAGCATTTAAAAGCCCTCAACAGGGATAGTCATTCAACACAACATCCTTTTAGATAGATCTTGCACAATGTAAGACAATGGGGGGGGGGTTGTGCTACCGAAGAAAAGGAGAATAAAAATTGTTGTGCAAAATACTCCAGAGTTGAAGTGCACAAGCAGAATTTGGATGAAACAACCCCTGTTGTGCCTTCACATCTCCTATCCCAGAGATCAGGTTATTCTTAGGTATTTTAGTGGTGAGCAGATGTCTACTATGCACAAGAAAATAAGAAAAAGGGGGAATAGCGCATCGCTTGAAAGAGCATAATAAACACAAATTATGCTGCCTCCAATAGACCTCACAGCTTTCACTTGCAATCTGGTTTATTCTATGTGATTGGATCTAGGGGACCCAAGTTTGCTTTGGGGTGGAGTGATGGGAACTGGTTAGAGAGACACTGGTTCCTGAGGATCAACTTCTGTGGGGTGCCCACTCAGGAACATTTGCTTCAAGAGTGATTTTTGGGCTCAAAGGTTTTGTTTAAGAAGCAAAGTCGCAAAAGGGAGAGAGTTTACCAGACACTTTGGAGGGATAAAATCTATCCTCTTTCAGCAATTCACCTAAGCAAAAATTAGCCAGAGACCATTTTTTTTTAGCCAGCAAAACTAAATGTGTGTGCATATGTGCGTACGTGTGTGTTTTCAGAAGGATTTGTTTTTGTGAAGGGAACATGCCTGGAGATTTACAAGAAGACTTGGCAATGTGGAACAAACTGAGGGACCTTCTTGAATTGACGGGAAAAAAATTCCTCGGTGGTTGCTGGCTCACAGATACTCTGTGAAATGTCCTGGGATAAGGACCATCTGGACAAAGATATCTCCACCCCACCAAACAAATTGAGAGTTAGAAAACAGGAAAAACACTCCCCCACACACAAATCCAAGCCAAGAAGCCGAATGATTGAAAGGCAGCTACTCTGTGCGATGCCAGGAGGAAGGGAAGCTCCAGCGGCACCTCTGAACACAGAGCAGTTCAGAGTGAGGAGAAATGTCCCAACACCACAGAGACGAAAGAACATGGGTCCTGCTGACTGTTGGATCATAGAAGACTGGCCCAAGGCAGAGAAGAAAGTAAACTGAGAAATTTCCACTTTCATAACCATTTTCCCTGCTTTCTCCAAGTATTAAGAGGCTGTCCAAATGAAACCTATTTCCTGGTTGGCCTTGGGTGATAGGGTAGCCATTTGTTTCCTGAGATTCTTTAAGACCTTCTGAAGCTGATAAGGGTAGATGATTCATCTGCTAATGGACCTTCAAGCTATCAAGCATATAAATAAACATGCAAAACAGTCACACAGAAAAGAATTATCACTGACACAAGACACTATCTGCAAATGAAACTATAATTGCTTTATTTTAGTTTACTATTGGTTAATATAACCTTAAAATCTCCTATTGGACAAGATTCTCTAAATTTATACATTAATTTGAAACAACTTTCATGGTAGTCACTAATAGTCCACAGGAATATGTAGATACGTGTTGTTGTTTTCATGGCCTTCATTTTCCAAATCCAGTAAGATCAGACTTCATTCTTTATATAGAAAAAGCATCAACGATTTTATATGGAGTGGAGCCCATGAACATTTTCCCAACAGAACTGTCAGGCATGCCTCCCTCTTCATCTTAGCACAAAACACCTCGATCCACACAAATCATCTCAATATCTATTTCTTTCTACTGTATCTTTGAGTTGTATAATTAGAACGTCTTCTGCCAATTAACAGTCCCCTCTTCTCCATTTCAGAAGTCCAGTGGTACCAGGTTTCTTATTTCCAGAGCAACTCTCCATACCTGTGGTCCACATTTTGCTGGTCCAAGATTAGGTCTAAAGTGGCCTAAAGTAGCTTCCTAGATATACATGAAGTAAAAGGAAAGTTGATTGTTTCCTGTCAAACAAAATAACTACACAAAGATACACTGGGAATCACTAATCCAAACCACAGGATAGTCTCCAGCTATTATCAGAGCTTTAAAAATAAAATCAATCCATGTGGCCAGACCAGAAACATTACAGTCCTGGTTGCTAAGCACCACTTTCTAGTCAGGAGGCTCTGCTTTACCATCCAGCTTCCATTGCTTTGTGATTTTCTCTAAAATGTTTGCGTGTGTGTCCAGTGTTTTTATAGATAGGAGATTTTAAAATGTGGATATTTTTAAATTAGAGTTAAAAATGCGAATATATACTTGATAATCTTACCTTTTATTTTCTTTCTCCCTTTCTTCTCTCCTCACTACTTCTCTCCATCCATTCTTCTTTCCATTTCTGCCTTTGTCCTGTTGGCCAATGGGATTTTTTCTATAGCAGAACATGGAAATAAACTCTATCATACAAAAGAGTAATAACAAACCCCTCAAAGATGGAGTAAAGGACCCTCATTCTTGTTCTAGCTCCCTTTTCAGCTATTACTTTCTTCTGTTAGTTGCAGAGATCATCCCAGTGTGTCCAGGAAATCAATAACTGATAACTATTCATGTAGTAGAAAGACCATTGGCAGGCTGGGGGGGCGGGGGAGGAATCAGGAGACTCACTTGTATAAGTGATGTCTAAAGTACTTTTCAATCAGAGCTCTACAGTAAGGTTTTAACTCAGTTTTAGTCCGTGAAACTTTTCTTTGGAGAAAATACTTTGAGGGGTCATCACATATAGCCAGTTTATTTATTTGTCAGCTGTTTAATAAACATTGTTAACATTTTTCATTATTCCATCCTTGGATAGACAAGTCACCCAGCTGCAATGCCTGGCTATTCTTCTTTCAGAAAAGATAGCACAATGACAGTCAGGAAACAATGGATTAACTAGTTTAATTCTATTTTTTATAAGTGATTTTAAAAGCCATGTACATAACACATAGCCAATTCAATTTAACTTTATGAATTTGACTCAATTCAATTATTTTAGCTTCAACATTGTTCCATGTTAGAAACACATTTTCTCCATAGTTTACCAAATTATAGCACCTCTCAGACTTTTAATGATTTATGCTCACATTTCCACATTCAGAGGTCAGAGGGGGTGGATTATTGTAATGATACATAGGAAACTGTACTCTTGTACCTGGCTCCTCCCTTGGTCTCTCTGCTCCCTTGTGCCCAGGAGTGACTGGCATCAGGCCCTCCCACCATGCTACCTTTTTCTTGAAGCCAACTGACCATGGACTGAAGCCTTTGAAAACTATGAGACAAAATAAATCTCTCCTCCTTTTAAATTGCAATTTGTCAGGAAAGTTAATTAATACCGAGTGTTTGTTTGTTTCTTTGTTTGTTTTGGTATAAACATTTCATGCTGAAGAAATGATGAAACTATGGTACATACTATTATGAAAAAAATTAATCCCCCCTAAACCAACTTCGGTTTCATCTTTCTTTTTTCAGTGTTAACTGCCAAACCCAAGGCTTCATGCATGCTGGACAAGCACTGTGCTACTACTGAGGCATACCTTAGCCTCCCACCCCTTTTTAAATTTTTGCTTATTATTGTACGATATATAGTCATCACCACGGTGTACATATGAATTTTCAATCTAACTTTCAATTGTTTTGTAAATACAATAGCTTGTGTTTCAACTTACTCTTCCCAGTTATAACTGGTAAAAATTGCATAATACTCCATTGCATGGCAATCCTAGTTGTTAGCTATTCCACGACTGTAGCACGTCAGTGACAAACCAGGAGACAAGAAAAACTCAGAACTGTAACGCCACAGGATGTAACTCTGCTCACAGGGCCTGTCTCTGCTAGCTCACCTTACCACTAGCATATTATAAGCCCTCACCTGACTTTCATGCAGTTAAAAAATACATATAAGGAGAATACAAGATTTTTACAATGAAAGGATTTTTCAGCTTATCTTGAACTCTGAATACCTGAGAAAATTGGAAGCATTAACCTCCAGAGTTCTATTATTTGATTATTATTTGATTGGGGTTTTCAAGCTCTTAGCTCTTGCCATATCCAATTCATTCTTGGTTATCTCCAGTTCTACTTTATAGAAATAGTTACATTATACATATATAAATATATTAATATATTTATTAATATATATTAAACTCACAACCTTTAGAGTCAGAAATTTTTACGGGCCTAAGGAATAGGTACTCATCTAAAATAATACACTTCCTCTACATGACCACTTGGATATTTTGAGCAAAGTTGTTCTTATCTTCTAAAACATCAAGCAACACTGGGCTTCAGGTGTATATTTCAGAATGCCCACACCTCTACTCTTTTCTTCAACCAGAGTTGTTATTTTAGATGCAGTGATGGTCATTTTGATTATGTTCCATACATGTTCGGAGGATTTTGTCAGCAGGAGCCTATACGTTTCACTTCTTAGAAATACCCTTTTTACTGACCTCTTACTGTTATTCCCTGTCATTCTTTCTTTAAAGCATGCTAAATAATTCCAACCTTCCAAAGTTGTTTACACCTTTCCAATGCTTGTAGCAGGTACATGGACTGCATAAATACTAATGAGGAAATCATTCTCGAAAAGTGCTAAATAATCACATTGTTGGAACTATAACAGCAATACAAAGCACTTTCATTTTCACAAGTACATTTTGAATGCAATAAAATAAAGAGTGTTAGTTAAACAGAGACATTTGCACCATGGGTGGCTACAGAACTATTCAAAGGTAGCATTGATAGTGGTTAATGTATGAAAGGTGTTGTTTGGAACAGATTATTATTATTATTTAAAGTGGAAGTGTACTTACAGTGTTTAAATGGAATAGGACTGCAATCTTATTATAATAAGCCATCAAGTTCTTGATTTTCTAAAAAATACAAATTTGCATGTGCTTATATATTTCATTCAATGAAAACTAAAATGCTTACAGCATATCCCACCTTCTTTTTGCCTTTGAATTTTTCATGTTTAGCACATCAGGTTTAGCATGATGCAACTGGAATAAATGACTAACTTAAAGATGAACCTTGATTTTCAGCAACCACAATCATGCAAAGAATAATGATCACTTTCTTCAACTGTCATCAGAGCTCATATGTCATTAAAGAGATGGAATCCTAGCATTTGTTCCACCTATGAAGCCTATTATCGGGACTCTGAAGATGGGAACTCTACTTCGATCTCAAACATCAACCACTAGGAAGCATTTTGTGCCAAAAATAAGTGCACTCCAGACTTTATCCCACACTCCTTCTGGAAAAAGTCCCAAAACTTCACTTTGACACTTACTAATTTTTTAAAGAATTTTTTGCCTTCAATGATAACATCAGTGGAGACACCTGTGGATAAACCACTACTTAACTTTGCAAATTCTTTTTTCTTTTTTCACTTTCCCTACCCTTCAATAGTATTTCCTACACAAAGGAAATGTAAGAATGCACTGGCTCTCTTTGGCACTAGACCCCTGGTGATTAAGCCTCAAATAGTATTTTATTAACTATCATTTTAAAGTCGGGTTATTTGGTGGTGAAGCACTAGGTTGCTGAAACTGTCATACTTTGACCTGTATTGTTATGTTGTTATGTCCTCTTTTATCTCAATCTCTCCCTTATTCATTAAAAAAATTTAGTTATTTTTTATGATTTTTTTAAGTAAGGGGAAAAATAAAATAAAAATTTTAAAAATTAGCAGGATAAAAAAATATTCTACAGATGGGCTGGGGATTTAGCTCAGCTTGCAAGCAGGCAGTCATGAGTTCGATCCCTGGTACCGATAAAAAAACGAAAAAGACAAAAAAAAATATATATATATATACATATATATATACATATATATATATACATATATATATACATATATATATATATATATTCTACAGGATAAGTCATTGTTTCCTAGAAAAGTATGAAATATTTCTACCACTATCTTTGCATCTCCCTGCAACACTTGTAACTCTTTAGTCTGTTGATGACACTGCTTTTTTAGGGTTCAAAGTTCTAAAATACTAAAAAGCACCTGCCTCACAAAATAACCGTACTTCTGCACCTCATGGAAGTTAAAGAACATGCCTATTAGTCTATGCAGTTGGCAAGCACTGACCGGCAACAATCTCAAATTTCCCTTCATTTTGTTTGAAGCTTTCCCATCCCAACTGTAAAACTTTTTAGTTTTGCTAAGCACACATATTACCAGGCCCTAGGAAAACAGTTAGCAAATTGGCCTAACACAGATATCAAATCAAATTATACTTCTATCACTCACTCATTAGCTCTTTGATATGTTACTTAACTTCTCTAAGCCTCAGTGTCCAGTTACATAAAACAAGATAATAATTGTGTGCATGAAATTTCTGTACTGTAAACATTTAATAAAATGCTTATGAAGTAGTTAGCTCAGGCCTTAGCACAACATAGACAAAAATGTGTTAGTTATTTTTTCATTATTTTTATTTTGTGCTTTCTCATTTACCTCATTAATGATAACTTTCCCAGGACCAAATGATTATATTCTCTATCCATGATTCAGAGGTTGATTCCTTATGCTAGTCTGCTGCCTTATGATTTGATCTGAAATTATTTCTTGTTTGAACTTTTCACCTGGATTATAAATGCACTTACAGAAGAGATCATATCTTACTCTTTTCTGTTGGAAAGCACTGAGGAGGAAATCCCTTCCTAAATATTCTAGGTTGTCTGCTCTGCGCACTGTCAATCAGGCAGCAAGATTTACCGAATACCTGATCTTTACATTCAAAATTATCAAAATGATCACCTGCGTTTTGTCCTTATTTTGTAGAAGGCTTATATTTAAAATAATGGAAGATCCTCTTGGTGTAGATTTGAACTGCTAGCAAATCTTTCTGTTTGAGTAAGCACAAACATCACCTCGGTGTGAGCAGGAAGTTCAAACTCTGTTAGAAAATGTTCATGTACAATAAACACAAAATAATGAAGAAATCATAATTTTAGTGCAAGTCTTGAGGGAATCTGAAATTCCCAAAATCATATAATGTTACAATTTCAAAACACTTTTAATGAGCATCTGTAGGAATTAAGCTATAATGCCTTTTTCTTAAAGTTTGAATATGACATGAATTCCCCATCAAAGTGAACTTCATCTGATTGAATGTTACAAAAACGACATTAGTATCCAACATCTGTTTTATCAATGTGAATAATTCTGTTGTAGATTATGATAAGGAAGCTATTTCAGCAGAAGTCAAGAGACTCTAATACTACCAGTATCCATAGACTTGTTTTTCTATTGCTCCTGTATCAGGTTCATGCATGGGAAGACACAGAGTCTAGTCAGAAGAGACCGTAGACTATCATGTTGGTCCATTCACAGAGTCTAGGCAGGGCCCACTTTAACTGCTTCAAAGAAATTATTTCCTATTTGAGTCATCAATATAGTCATCAATTTTCAAATACAATTTCTGGAAATTCAAAATGGAAAGATTTTCTACTTTCAGTTCTTATTTTAACAAACTATATCTTTTCTTGATCCCAAAGTAAGTTAAACTGAGAAATCTACAGACAAGGTGGAAACCTGCCTATTAGCCAGGTATGTAGATACTATCTAATGGATAAGGATTATTGGTAAAAGCAACAATACTGTTCTTTGCAAATGTAATTGGAACATACCATATATGATTAATATAAAATTACTTTTTCTCATGTTAGCTGTCTGAAACAATCCACTCAGAATAAACTCATTTTCAAGTCTCCAGTCCACAACTCCAGATTATAGTAAGTCTTCCATCACACACTAAAAAGTAAAATAAGGAAAATTTCTTCTGCATACATAATACTTTACAATAACTTTAGCATTAATGAATCAAACTTCACTAACTTTCATGATGACACTAAATATTATGCACATAGTTCTTCATATATGTATTTGCAAAAAAAAGTTTGAGCAAGAGAGCAGAATTCATGAAATTCTTAGGATACATGAAGTAAAAGTATAAACTTTTTTCCCAAAATTATTTTAAAAAGAAAAATTAGTTCACTGCATTTGAGGTCATATGAGTTCACTACAACTACTACTCCTGGAGAGAACAGAGTCCTTCAAATGAATAGATCAATTGTTCACAACAACTATAATTTTAAAAGTGGATGTGTTGCAAGCTTTCAGCCCAATATGGGACACACAGTAGGCTCGCAGTGAGTAACTATCATCTTCCCACACCATTCAAAAATTAAATAAGAATAGGGGCAACAAAAATTTCATATTACTGACTTTTCATATCTAGTTCCCACTTGCTGATTAAGAGAACAGGAACCAGGTGCTAGAGGGCAGGAATTACCTTTTTAACCACCATTGAATCCTCAAGTCCTAGCTGAGTAGCTAGCACATAAAAAGTACTCAATATGTAATTGTTGTTCAACTCACTACATTTTCATCTTCCTCCTCTAATCAATCCTGTCTTTACTTGTCCTTGTAATCCTAACCTTCCAATCTCATTACATCTTAAACTCAAGACATAGGAGTAGGTGAAGGAACAGAAAAAACAAAATGGGTGAAGGAGGACTCAAGGCTTAGGACCATGCACTGGGGTTTGGATTGCATGATCTTTTTTTAGCTCTTGCTAAATTGTCTGTAAAATCATTAAAGATTAATGCACTAATGCACTATTAGAACTTGACTGTTCATTATGGTAAATGATGCCTTGTTTGAAATTTGTAAATAAAAAATAATTTCTTCAAACTTCACAGAGGTTTCCATCCAAATCAATAAGATCCTTAGAATCATTCAGAGTGGCAAGAGATTGAAATGGAGAAAATATTTTAAAATACAAATCAATATAGGAATCCCATTAAAAGACTGGTGAATACTACCTGTTAAAAAGAACAACTAGATTCTTTAGTTTCTAAAACAAATTGAACAAGTCATGGTGTATTGAATCACTCCACAGGGTCATCCATCTTCAGATTAGAAAAATATCACCTTCTGGGATGTCATGATATTGGCAAGTTTATAAATCAGGTTTTACTCAATTATTTCATAAAATTCCCCAGTCTTCATATATACTGGTAAGCTGCTCCACCATAAAACATAGTATGTGCAAACAATATTGCTTACATGTATACATATAGTCATATGCATGCACATGTTACAAACATCTACATCTGATCTATATTTTATGAAGAAACCAGAAAACATTAAAAAATCAAAATTATATTCTAGATTGCATCTAGCTGGAGTTTAAGCCCTATTATTTCTTATTTCATTTCATTAGCTAAAGCATTATTTTCCCCAAAAATAATGCAGCAAAAATACTCCCTTGGCACTGTAGAAATAATGTTAAAAGTATAATAAAATGGCAATATTCAATATATAATAAAATGGCATTAAGACTCTATTAAAACATAGTTATACACATCTATACAAACACACTTAATCCTAAGCAACATACAGGTCAAAGATTATTTTCTTCATTTCTTGAATCAAGATTTTAAACTATTTAACAGTGTTAAACCTATGTAGGAGACTGTAAAAGAGAAATGTAGAATTTCTAGACAAAAAAAATTTATACTGTAACAGTTACTGGTTGATTTTTTAGTCGATTGAATAAGAAAAATACTTTTCTGGAAACATCAATGTCTTTAACAGGCTGATATATGGGGGCTGAGTGTGAGAGAGGGGGACAGAATGTTAGATTGCTGTAATGAATTATAGATACACTCCTTGGAATTGAAATTTCATTGTTATTAGTAAAATAGAATATAATTCTAAAAGATTACATTGAAAGATTCTTGAACATATGGGCCAAATTACTAATAAGATAGAATAAGTAAAATATAGACATAAAGGCATTATGTAGAAAGAATTTGTTTGCTTCAAGAAGTTCAGAGCTCCAAATTG